AATTAAATTACAATTAATTGAATTACAATTATACCTATATATAAGAGAATAAAAATAAAATAAAAACTTTGAAAAAAAAGGTCTGGCCCACAGGGGCCTGGAAACGGCAAAGGAGCAGCAAAGCTGCCTTTGCTAGCTAAAATAAAACTCGGGAGTGGGTGGGGGGGCTGCACCACCGCACCCTATTTTTTGCTGGTGGGAGGCTATCAAAACAAATTAAAAACTGCCATCCCTGCCAAAGGGCTTCATGGAGGCCACTCCCGCCGTGTTCTGACCTAGGCTTCCTGATAAAGCATAAATCACACGCTTCCTCCCCAAAACCCTCTTTTTATTTAAATGGGTATGAATTATGGTCATTTACAGCCCATAATGATTCAAAAACAGTCTGCCGAAGAGTCTGACAGTTGTCTGTCACAGTCTTTCAAGGTAATGCTGATTAAGCACCCACCTTTGTCTCCCTTGAAACGCTGCCAGAGACCTCGTGTTGCCAATTAGTTTTTCAAGGCCAAAGAGAGCACAGAGTCAAAACGGAGCTTCTCAGAGTCTGAACCGACTAGAATGAACAAAGTTGCTTCCTGCAAGGGCTCGTGTCCGTTTGCTGCTCTTCGATGCTTTACAGTGGGGCCAATCATCTCCAAGCCTCACTCCCGAGTCGCCCTTTCTGTCTTACTTGTTCTTGCCTTCTGGAAGCTCTTCACATGCGTCCGCAGGGAAAAGGCTCACACTGTTCTTCCGCCTCACTGATGTCAGGCTCCGGAGGCAGCACTTAACGACCACATGGCCCTGGCCCTCTCTCTGCCTCTGACGTGGAACCCTTGTCCGAGCCTTCCCCAGACTCAAAGACTGGCCCATGTTCCTTCCCAACCTCCTCGTTGTCCGACTCTGCTGTCAGCTCCACAGGCCGCCGACGGACCACAACACTGCAAACCCTAGCTACTACGCCCTTTCTCTTAGTGGCGGTCGCAAAAAGAGCGGCGAGCCCAGGGACGCTAGGACTGGCTAGAGTGTGCCAGAAACAGAGACAGCGTCTCCAGCCCTCTCTGGATCAGCTGATCCGCGGGCCGAGGTTAAGGGGCCTCCTACACCTCAAAAATAATAAGACCTCCCTGAAAATAAGGCCAAGCGCTTATTTTGGGCATCAAAAGAAAATAAGACCCTCTCCTATTCTCGGGGAAACACAGTAATTTTAGCAAGATTTCCTCCCCCCTTTCTTTACAGATCCTGAAATCGACTGCCGACGTGGAAGGGGGCCGAAAGCTTTACGAAGCCTATTCAGCTGTGACGGACGACAAACCGGAACGCTTCCTAAGCCTACGCAAGACGGTGCTTTTGCGCAAGGAAGCACGGAAGCTCTTCGTCCAAGCCAACACCCGTCTGGAGGGTAAGGAGGCCGGGGTCTTAACCTGGTTTTTATCATTTCTCGGGGGTCCAACGTCACTGATTTCACTCGGTATGCACAACCTCTTCCCAGGATTTCCCAGAGATTTCCGGTGTAAAGGGATTTGGAGCTGGTCTCCGTTCAAGGAAAGGACACCGGATTGCAATTCAGACACTTGGCTCGCATTTGCGAACGGTCACAGCATCGTGTCTGTGTGTGTGTGTGTGTGTGTGTGTGTGTTGATTGCCAGTTGTGACCTTCCCAGTGGCACAGTGGTCAAGTGTGTGGTACTGCAGACTACTTCTGTTGCCTGCTGGCTGCCTGCAATTTGGCAATTCAAATGCAACCAGGCTCAAGGTTGACTCAGCTTTCCATCCTTCCGAAGTAGAATAGAATAAATAGAATATACTTTATTTGTATGCCACCCTTTTCCCTGAGGGGACTCAGGGCGGCTCACAATTCAGGGGGAGGGAAGGACAAAACAAGTTACACACATGAAGACAATACATCGTTAAAAGCGCAACAATCATACTATTCGGGTGGGGTTGAAGTCTTTAGCTCCAGGCCTGTTGGGACAGCCAGGTTTTAAGGGCTATGCGGAAGGTCCGGAGGGTGGTGAGGGTACGAATCTCCACGGGGAGTTCATTCCATAGGATCGGAGCAGCCACCGAGAAGGCTCTCCTCCGGGTAGTTGCCAGTCGGCATTGACCGGCTGATGGAATTCGGAGGAGGCCTAATCTATGGGATCTTATTGGCCTAGTGAAGTGGGTAAAATGAGGACCCAGATTGTTGGGGGCAAGAGGCTGACTCTATAAACCGCTTAGAGAGGGCTGTAAAAGCACTATAAAGCAGTATATGTCTAAGTGCTATTGCCCTCCCTCCCTCCCTTCCCAGTGATTAGTACTGCAAGCTAACTGCACACTGCCAACAGTTCGATCCTAATGGGCTCAAGGTTAACTCAGTCTTCCGTCCTTCCGAGGTCGGTAAAATGAGGACCCAAATTAATGGGGGCAAGAGGCTGACTCTGTCAACCACTTAAGAGAGGGCTGTAAAAGCACTGTAAAGCGGTATATACGTCTAAGGGCTATTGCTATTCACATTAAACATGGTCCCTCGATACGTTTCTAGCGTCCGCAACCAAGGAGAAAGGATGATTTGAGGGGAGGGGGAGGGATTATAATCTTAATCATAGAATTGGGGACAGAATAAATTTTGCAATTTTTTGCCGGCTGACTGGTTCTCTTGCTCTCCCCTTCCTTGCCCAGGCGGCAAAGTCCGACTGACTCAGTACGAATCCAGCGCCGGGGGGCTGATCCGTTCCTTCTCCGAACGCTTTTCCGAGGACGCCGACATCCTCGAGCGGGAATTGCTGGAGCTGACTCACGCCGATGCTCATTTTTGGCAAAGTTAAGGCTGCAGGGCGGGTGAGAGGGGGGTGGGTGGAGGGGCCTGGGTCTTCCCTCCTCTCCCCCCTTCCCAACGAGCCCTCCTGACGTCTGCAGTTCTCTCTGAATCACCTTCAGAAAGGGGAGGATTGCCGTGATAGCGATATCGCGAATAAAGCTAACTTTTCTAAAGTTTGTGGGCTTCCGTTTGATTTGCCTCTCCTACCAACTCCGTGGTGGCCACTGTCCAGGCGTTGGGAATTTGGTAGCACTGGATGGAAAGGCCTTGAAAAACCGAAGGGAAAGAGCAGGCTGGGGGAGGCGGAATTTTGACTCAAGAGTTGCACACATTTTATTTTATTTATTAGTTTGTCAAACATGTACGGGATAGCAGGTATAAGTAGATTTCCAAGCAGAGGGAAGACCTGCGGGAGTTGCAATGCCAGGTACCGGCGCCTGGAGGCTCAGTGGGCTGAGATGGTCAGCCAGTTCCAGGCCGTGATGCAGTCCCACTGGAACGAGGCCCTCCGCCTCTTCGCCACCAGCGTTGCTTCCCTCCAGCCTTCGCCCAAAGCCCCCCACCAGGAGGCTGAAGCAGACCCCAAGTAAGAATTTCTGCCCCCCTCCGACCCACACAAAAAGACCCCGAAGTGGGAGACGCCCCGCAGCAACACAAGCATTCATTGCACGTATCCGTCCCAGGGGCCGTAGTTTGAGGACCCCTGATTGAGTGCAATATCAAAAATGCAATTAATTTTTCTGCGGACCACCAACATTTTCTCACGGACCACCAGTGGTCCATGGGCCACCAGTTGGTGACCGTTGCACTAATCGGCATATATTAAAATGAAATTTCTTTTCAGATTCAGATTCTGAATCTGAAATCTGAAAATTTTCTTTGCATACAGTTCTCAAAAGGATCACCACCTCCAACTTACACTACAAAAACATGATAAAATAAATACTAAATTACACATATTACCCACATATGAACACAGTCTGAATGTATACATGTACATGGCGAGAAAAATGAATCTCACAAGTTTATTTCAACTCCCAGAATTCTTGTGCACCGGCCAACTGAATAGAACAGAATAATTAACAGAATAGATTGAATAGAGATTTAGAATAGAATAGAAAATAATAGAATAATTAATAGAATAGATTGAATAGAATAGAGATTTAGAATAGAAAATAATAGCATAATTAATAGATTGAATAGAATAGAGATTTAAAATAGAATCGAAAATAATAGAATAATTAATAGAATAGATTGAATAGAATAGAATATGCAATAGAATATATAGAATGTAATTGAATGGAATAGGGGAATAGAATAAGAATAGAATAAAATAGAGAATAGAATACTTTATTGTGAATGTACACTAATCTGCATACATTAAAAAGAAATTACATTGCATACAGCTCTCAAAGGGTCACCACCTTCAATATTCACTACATAACCCTGACGAAATATATGAATACAAAATATAATCCCACATATATGACAGTCTAGTAATTCTAATGTATTTATATACAAAGGGAATCTTGCGAGTTTACTTCAACTCCCAGAATCCTTGCGCGCGAGGGACTCTGGGAATTGAAGTCCACATCACTGAAAGTCCCCCAGCTTGGGGGGACTAACGCGTGAACGAAACCCCGGGTGTCAAATCGGCCTTTCCCCTGCCTCAGCACCCTCCTTTCCCCCACCCCCGCCCTCCCCTGCCCAAAACCCCGCCGCGCCCCGCGAGGATGGAGACGGATGGTGAACCGGCCCCTTCCCCGCAGGCCCTTCCCCAAGCTCCGGTTTTCGTGAAGAGGGGGCGGCCCTTTCTCGGGCCCCGCCCCCAACCCGGAACGAAGCAGGAGGCCGCGCCACGTCGCGCGGAGACGCAGCCCAAGGGGGGCGCGGCGAGGGAAGCCAGCCGCGCATGCGCGCTTGGACAATACCCGGAGCTCGCGCCCGGGGAAGCGCAGAACGGTTGGAGGTCGCGGCGGCGTTTGCACCGTGCAAAGCGCGATCCCGGGAAGGGAAGCGGGGGAAGAGGGTCGTGGGAACGTGCCAACCCGGGTTCTGGGTGCGATCCGAACCCCGAAGGGTTGGGGTCGTTGGAACAAACCACCCCACCCCAAGATCAGCACCGGGGTCGTTTGGAGACCCCCACCCAAAATCAACCCCGTGGAAGGCGAGGGTCTCCCTTTTCCAGCGTCACCATGTGGCTGCCCGCCCTGCTGGGTCCCTGGGCCGTGCTGCTGGTCCTATCTGCCGGCCGCTGCCGGGGGCTCTCCTTCCACTTGCCCCCGCTGAGCCGTAAGTGCTTGAAAGAGGAACTGCACCGGGACGTGATGGTCACCGGCGAATTCGAAGTGTCCGAAGCGGCCGCACCGGGCATCCGGACGGACTTAAAGGTGGGAGCGAGACGTTCCCTTCTTCTTCCTCCCCGACCCTTTTGCACAACCCTCCAACCCTTAATGCACCGCCCGAGCTCTTGCAAACTGTTGCTGATCTGGGTTTTGCACTCTGTGCATGCTCAGGGGTTCTCTCTTCTTCTGCTCGCAGGTGACCGACTCGTCCGGGCACCTGCTCTACTCCAAGGAGGAAGCCAAGAAGGGGAAATTCGCCTTCACCACCGAAGATTACGAAGTCTACGAGATTTGCTTCCAGAGTCAGGGACAGACAGGTGAGGGCATGCAGCTGCCTGACTACAGGGCCCATCGTCCCCATTCAGGGCCTTCCTGCAGCGTGGCGATGGGTCTTACTTTGGGAAGAGAGAGGTCCAGTGTTGCTTTTTTACTCCCCACAACAAACTTTTAATTACTTGGTTGTGAGTTTTTAGAATAGAACAGAATAGAATTAGTATTTAGAATTTAGAATATTTATTTATTTATTTGTAAAATTTATATGCCGCCCAATCCCAAAGGACTATTCTATTTTAGAATAGAATAGAATTAGAATTTAGAATAGAATAGAATAGAATTCTTTATTGGCCAAGTGTGATTGGACACACAAGGAATTTGTCTTTGGTGCAAATGCTCTCGGTGTACATTAAGAAAAATAAAATAGAATAAATTCATCAATAGAATACATTCATCAATTTTTCCAAAATTTGTGTGATTTTTTTGTGTGTGTGATGGTCAGCTAAAGCAAACACATTGAGTCTCGCAGCCCCCTAAATTAAAATTAAAAAGTCAAATGACTATAATAAGTTGCGCAGAGGCAAAAACAAAAATAACGGAAATGTTTTAACTGACGTGGTTCAATGGGTTTTGCCACCAAAAGTTAGGAAATTTGTTTTGATCATTTGAAATATCTTTCTTCGTGTTGACCAAAGGTACTTTTTACTTTAGATTTATTTTTTGGAGGTTTCTTATTTTGCTACGGGATTTGAAAGAGGTTTCAGACAAAACTGAACCCCATTATTGTTGTTGTTGTTGTTAAGTTTTGTCAGCCAGATGTTTAAACTGAATTTGGCATTTTTATCCATCTGTCAAATCTTTCCCAAGGATCTTTAATAATATTAAAGGTTTGGTCACAAAATGTCAGCTGTGCCAAGTCAAGGTGCCTTTTGCAATGGGGGATTTTGGCAATGCCAGTGGTGTTCCAGGTGTGATCCAGATGTTTTGGGATTGCACCCAAGGCACCTACCACTATCGGTCCTAATTGCTATCTTTTGCCCCAGTTGTTGCAAGTCTTTGTGTGTTAGGATTTTCTCTAGTTTGTATTTTTTATATTAACTTATATTATTGCTATTTTATTTAGCTAACCTCATTCAATACAGTAGAACATAGAAAATGTTAAGAATATTAGGAACATACTTTATTATTATTATATTCCATGTTTTAGTGCACAGTCAGATTAGATTTGGCCTGTTGAGTCCTTGTATTACTATTAATATACAGTAATTAATAAGAACATAAAAGCTGCAATAGACTTTCTTAGTTTGGTTTTGCTATGGTTAGTAAAACCAAATATTATAATTTGTAAATCACAATTGGCAACTTAATACGGTAGTGGCCAAAATTGTGAAAAACCTTTTGGGAAAAGTGTANGAATAGAATAGAATAGAATAGAATAGAATTCTTTATTGGCCAAGTGTGATTGGACACACAAGGAATTTGTCTTCGGGGCATAAGCTCTCAGTGTACATAAATAAAATAAAATAGAATACATTCATCAAAAGATACAACCCTTAGTGATAGTCATAAGTTACATAAGCAATAAAATCATACTAGGAAACAAATAAAAATATAAATTATAAAGATACAAACAACATGGTTATAATCATAAGTGGGAAGAGATAGGTACTAGAAAGGATGAGAAGAAGAATAGTAATACAGCCTTAGTAAATAATTTGACAGTGTTGTGGGAATTAATTCTTAAGCAGACTGATGACATTCAGGGGGGGAAACTGTCCTTGTGTCTGGTTGTTCTGGTGTGCAGTGTCCTATAGCATCATTTTGAAGGTAGAAGTTGAAACAATTTATGTCCAGGATGTGAGGAGTCTGTAGATATTTTCACAGCCCTCTTTCTGGCTCGTGCAGTATACAGGTCCTCAATGGAAGACCGGTTGGTAGAAATTGTTTTTTCTGCAGTTCTAATTATTATGGGACTGCTGCAACACTCATAAGTGTGAAAAATGGTTACAAATCACTTTTTCCAGTGCAGTTGTAACTTTGAACAAGCAAACTGCTGTAAGTCGAGGATTACCTGTAATTCACTGGCTGTGCAACATGTTCTAAGAAATCCTATATTCTGCTTTACCACTCAACACGAACATCAAAATACCCATCATGAGCTTCTGAGTGTTATCAGCTTGTCTTTCAGTAGCTAAGTCACATTTTGTAAGTCAGACTCAATTTCCCATCCAACAACTTCAAAGGAGAAATGCATGAGCTAAATCATATGGCTATCTAGGCCTGAGATGCACTTTTTCTTGGCTTTTGGATGGCAAAAAAAAAAATCCAGAAAGGCCAGCACCTGTTGGTTTTGAAAAGGAAGAACCAGGTGTGCCTCAAGGGGAAATGTTTAGAGCAGGAAACTCATACTCAT